AGGTCATGTGACCTGACTCAAATTCTTTGTGAAACTGTTTTACTACATTAGCCTGATGAGGCACACTCATTTTTATTCAATTTTAAGCCTTTGTATGTGTTTGGGCACGCGGGGCAAAGCATACCATCACCGGATTGGGTTCAGTCTCTCCGTTCCAGGCTGGCTTCGGACCGGGACTAGGAATAGCTAGAATCAAGACATGCTTTCCCACCACAGAGGATGGATCAATCTAACATTGTTATGACCTCCTGCTCTGGGTGTTTGGTGTCAGGCACTCAGAACGTTGGACCCAGAATTCAAGCAGACAGGTCAGATTCAGAAACAAGTGTTTATTAAAAGCATGCGACTGCTCGTCAGCTGGGGTGGGCTCACTGGATACTCTGTAGAAACTGAGACTCAGGTCAGTGATGTGAAAACTCAGATGGGGAATGATAAAGAGCATGAACTTTACCAACCTGGTAAATTTCAGTCTAAGCCAAGAAGAAGGAGTGAAGTCCAGAGGAGTGGTTACTCCATAGCTTGTGACAGAGCCGATTTTGGAGATCCAGGAGAGAAGAGGAGCAGCGACCAACAGAGGCTGGAGCATGCAGAGGAATAGAAAGATAAAGAAGGATTAATCCAAGGCGGGGTCAGAAGACAGGAGGTTTATAACAGATCTAGAACAAACCTAGAGGTAACAACTACTTAATAAGATCAGGCAAACCAAGAGCACTTAAAAAAACAATTGTTAAATGTCTCAATTATCTACACATAAATGAAAATCAGGTCCCACTCTTCTAAAATATTCAAAAATAACAAGTAAAAATAGTAAATGTAACTTTTTATTAACAGTAAAGAATTGCCTTTAATGACATCCACAACTAGCACACTGCAAAATCAACAATATTTACAACAAATAACTTTTAAAGGGTTCATTATGCTTACCACATGGACAGCATTTATACTCTGTGGGGCTTTCCCTCAGTCTGGCCAGCCCTGTCAACATGCTCAAACATCAAGATGACAACACCACTACAAAAGGGAGTACAAAACACAGGCATTTAAGACTTTATAAAAGCCTTTTCATGCTGTTTTAGAGCCACAGTAATTTCTCTTCTGGAGTTTTCCAACAATCTGTTGATGATGATATGTATGGCCTGAATCATGGGGTGTCTATAGATGTCTGCTGGCTTACTCCCTACATTTTCTGTCCACATCTGACCCAATTGTTACAAATTTTCCTAGCTGCTCCATGCAGACATTTTCTAGACAAGGACTTCATGCAGAGGGGTGTGGAAGTCTAAAATGCTTTGAGGATGACTCAAGTATAAACCAAGCTTTAGTCTGCATTACCAAAACTGTATGAAAATTACATTGCTAAGAACTGTACATGAAGGAAATAAATAGAAGGAATCTATATAATGTTATAGATAGCATTGCAGTGACATCCCACTGCTATCCTTACAATGACTGCTTCCATTTTAAGAGGCATAAAATGTTCCTTAGCAACCACAGAGGTAAACAGTACTCTCATTAAATTTTGCACGTGGTTTGACTCTTTGAGTCTATGATTTATCAATACCTAGAAAGGTATGAAAACAT